GTCATGTGCCTCAGCCTGCTGCAACTTCTCCGAGATCAACATTGACCCTTTATGCGCTAATCGATATAAACCCCGACCCCTCCACCACATTCTGGGTATGTGGGGAAAAAAAACAAAAACACTAAAGCTGCTAAATATACTATGCCTCACCCCCCCCCTCCGTGGGTAACCCAAAAATCCCAACCCTGCCTTATCCAAACACTACTGTCCCCAGGTTTTTACCCCCAGCTGGGAAATTTTATGGGGAAATGCAAGACCCCCCCCCCCCATTTTTTTAACATTACTATCTCAAGATAGTAAAGGTTAGTGTTGGGGTGGGGGTTCCCACCGACTCGTACACAACCATTTTATGTTCTATCAGCTGATGTCTTTGTTTCTTTGGATTCTCCATTCCCAAAATATGGTATACACTGTAAACAGTTTCTACTTCCCCAAAATGTTTAGTTTACTTCAGGTCAAGGTCACGACTGGTGTTCTATTGTGTGGATTTTGAAAAGCTCTATATACACAGCTGGAGAAACGTGCACTTTGCTAAATATTGCATGCTCTATATATTTATTAAGTGAGCACGAGTCCCAGTAGTTCAAGCTGAAGTCCTGTTCCTTTATGAAACACTGATTTTTTTGCACTTTGCTAGTTGGGTCTGCAAAAGAAAAATCATTTATTTATTTTGAGAAATTTGTTGCCCTCAAAGTTGTCATGAATTTTCCATATAACCAGAGTTGCATGAAATTATACTACCGGTATATAAAATTGCTATGTTATGTTTTTTTACAATCTTTGGTCATTGTACTTGTCTAGAGAATGTGTGCTTGAAGCAGTTGCAGCATGACAAAGAAACCTAAAAATCAATATAGCAGGCAGAAATGTATGTGTAGTTTCATTCCTGCTCTTCGTGTACAGCTGTTTTTCACAGGTTATTAAGTGTGGAGCATTTAGTAAAAATATTCTCTCAATGTCTTGGGGGCCTGTTCAAAATGATCATGAAATTTCTTGTAAAAAAATTGTGCTGAGAAAATGGTAAAGTAAAATAATACTGTAAAATGACTAATATTCACTGGGTTTAAATTTCACTGATTTACCATTTCAGGCATATTCAGTGGGTTTTAAATTCACGGATTCATCATTTAGATAATGTGTTCTATGCTAAATTTTACATATTCACTGTGTTTTAATTTAGCGCATTTTTCCAGTCAGCGAAATAAGCTAAATTAAAACCCAGTGAATAATTACCCCCTTTACAGTATTAGCAATCCTTCAAATCTAAGGCTTTTTTCATTACACTTGTGGAAAATATGAAAAAAAAAAGATTTGTAAGCACAATGTTGTACTACTGGTAGTACTCATCATGCTTTACAACATTCAATGAAAGGTATGGAATCGAGAAATAAGATTTAATTAACATACTTCTGCTTAACAAAATTAAAAACAGGTAAAAGAAACTAGAATTTATGAATGATGTGCAAAATTGAGTCATTTTCAGCACTCGCGATTACTCTGGCAGACCTGTTTTTGTTTTTTCACTATTTCTGGGCTAGTGGAGTGTCAGCTGCTATTTTTAACCTAAGCAACCCTGGTACTTGTATATTTATCATTTGGGGTTGTTTAATTGCCTCGGCAGAATGACTGAATGAGGCAAAAAGTGTTTTAATAATAGCACTGTACAGAACTCTATGTACGGGTGCTTGACTTAAATGGGTGTATAATCTGATCATGCACTTCTTCTTTCGATTCCATTCTCGGTGATCTAAGTACGTACAGTTATGTGTAGATGCCACAATATGAAAGGAGGTCATTGCTGATATTAAACAAATTTATGCAAATAAGATGCAGTCATATCGTGCTGATTACAGATGTATTATAGTCAGTCTTTGCCAACGACAGGCATTCAATTTGTCATCAGTGGTTTACATCTGCTGTGAACAGTGAGTGCTTATACCCACTATGCATTGTTTTACAACCTCAATGTCAGTTTGAATGTAATAAATTAGTACTAAATATTCTGGTCAAGTCAATGAGGCTGCAGGATAAGAGTTGAGAATAACTGGCATCATCTATATTTCTTTCAATGTGTTTCTGCATTGATTAAGCAAATTTGGCCTGTCTGTCACTTTTGTTTCTTGCAATAAAAATAAATGTAATATTTTTCGCACATTGTTTTGAGGCTCTATATTCGTGTATGCACACGTGTTGATGTAATTTAATGCATCCAGAATCTCAAGCCAATCTTTCTATCATGGAGAGATTTAATTTTCTCAGGTTGTTTTATTTGAGGTCAAATACTGGTATATCCAGGCTTGTTTAACATTTGTACCTGAGTGAAATAACACACAGATGGTGTCAATAAAAAAATGCTGTAGTTTTGTGAACATTTATTTTTTAAACTAATGCATGGGCCTGTGTGCTTTCATATTAAAAAGATGAGGACCTTGTAATCTTGCGTTCCATCCAGTTTTTTGACCAAGGGGTTGTCAACAGTGCGACTACTGGATACTGTAAAGACATTTATTCTACACAGGTTTTAATTTGTGTAATCCGCTAAACTAAATCTGTGAACATGTAAAATTACAACTTATCGTCTCACTGCTAAACCAGAGGATTCAAACCAAGTGAATATGTCAAATATCAAAATTAAATACCAGTGTCAGTTAAAGCTTTTACAGTTGACTATATATTTCTGGCTTTTGTGTGCTTTATTATTTATTGAAATCAAACATCAATGGTTGACAACTCTGAGCCAAGATAATTAAATGTCAAATAATAAAGTCATTATTCATACTTGTAAACCTGTTTGACAAGCAGCAGATCCCAAGTTTAACTCTATACAGGTCTATATAAGATTGAATGGCCTGGAAAATCAATTAGTATCATGTGGTGTTACCGTATTTGCTCTATTAGGTTCATGCGCTTACGCAAGTGATAAAGGTTTGTCTATGGTGGAAACTAATCATATTTTAATATTTGAGATGTTCTAATCTAGCAAATATGGTAAATGTAGACCATGTAGTGCTCTCTACAAGGGTTTCAGCTGGGGCATACCTATCAAGTTTGTCAGGTCCCCTAGTGAGTGGTGACAAGTGCATGGCAAAAGGTTTCCTGCAAATTGCCGAAGTTCCAACCTTATTTTCTTTTACGTAAATGGGTAAAAACCATGTGAACTGTATATTTTATAAATCTATAGTTTTCAACATTTTAAACAATATTATGTTTGGCCACCTACCAGGCATGTTTGAATATTTGAATAAGTGTTCCAGCGGAGCGGGCCCTACTAAGGGATTTACGCTGGTTAACCGCAACACTGAAGATATCCCACCTCAACTGATCTAATCTGTTATGGTAATTTACTATTTCCAGTGTTCATTAATAATTAATACATTAAACAAAACAAAAAAACAGAAATGGTACTTGCTAGCAAACTGAAAGAAAGTGTGAAGCTTGGTTTCTATGGCATTCAAAATTGGAAACAACGCACCAGACTAGAATTATCGGAAAAACACAACTCAAATTTGGCTAACCGAAACTGTTTGAAAACAGAGAACTTACAATAAATAAATGTATGCCAGAGAAATTACTACATCCGTGATTGACCT